ATTAGCCAGACGAACCTGAATACAATGAAAATCTAAGAAACTGTCGGGTTTATATAGTAGTTTATCTGGTCAAATATCCTGGTCAAACCACAACAACATCAGATCAAATACTAGGAATTGGCGCCTAAAAGGTGGTCTATAATTGACTACGGTAGACCACACATGAGAATATGTACACCTACAACACCTCCCCTCTTGATTAGGAAGAGTAAGATTTCTTCTTCGGATCCACCATGAGTCGACGCGGTGAATGACGAGTCCGTAGTGAACGTCGAAGTCGTGGCGTCGACGGCGGAGTCGAACGTGGTGCAGCTTCGTGGTCCTGCGTCGTCGGGTTGAGAGGAGTTGACGTCGTACCATTGTCCAGCGTCGGTTGATCGGTGACGGCAGTAGGTTCCTGATGCAGCGGAAGGAGGTCGAACACGTCCAGTAGCTGGCTCACTACTGGACTGGAGTCGCGAAGTTTCAGCTGGTTGGCGTGTCGTGTCCAGAGTGAGTTTCCGCATCGTACGAGATACATGACGTGTCCGAGGCGTCGAACGATGGTGCCAGGTGTCCATGTAGTTTTTGGTCCGCGGTAGCCCCGGCATATACTGCATCGCTCACGTCGATGTGGCGACGTTTGGCTTCGTGGTGTTGTACTGGTCCTCCATATTGATGTCGCAACGTCTCCTGTTGTCCTCGGATTTCCAGTTCAGTACGAAGTCGACGGCCCAGAAATTTTCCAGCAGGCGAGAGATGACTTGGTCCGGATGGGAAGTGAAGTGCTTCCGTTGTTGATTACTCCCTCTTCAATTTGGCCAAACCTCTCTCAAGTATCCACGAAAGCTCTGCTTGACCGTTGCTTTATGGATGAAAAGGAGGAGAGCGGACGCTTTCTTTGATGGAGGCAGAATCCACGAACGTGTTGCGATGCCAGTGCCGTTTTGAGCGATCGCGGATTCCCGACCGGCACTTGGATTGCATCCACGATTGACGATGTAGAAGGTTCATCTAGGGGTTGCGAAGTCAGCTATGCACTCGAGCCAGGAAGTGATGGCTCGGCTAAGTACTGAAGCTCGCGTCATCACAGGATTCGGCTAAGTTGGCACAGATAGCACAGTTTCAACAAGGGTGTCTATAAGTGCATCCGTCGACGGCCAGTAACATAGCTGCGAGCCAGCATCTTCATCCTCGTTTGGCCTAGATGAGCTTGTGAAGTGATTGTAGTACGCGACGTTGAAGGGACTTCGGGATAACGAGACGGCTTGACGACAGAAGGCATGAGCCGGTGGTCGATAGTGATTCTCGCCGATTGTAGTACGGCCAAAGTGGAGAATCACGATCCATTTTTGGCCACCTTCCGATCGAATACAATCGATCACTTGTGTCGGGGTGCGGTCAGCCATGGTTGCAGCTGGGTAGATTTGAATGAGACGGTTAGCTTGACTGCAGTTGTCTTAATGCGGCTGATCATCAGGTCATAGAATGCAATACACTGCGTCTTCTGGCTCCTGCGACTTGATCCATTAGTCGTATTAGGGGCGTCAGTTTGTCAAATCTTCGCTGGTCTGAAATACTGATGCTCAATGTAGTCAGCACAGGGTCAACCCTGCGTTGCGCAAATTCCCAAATTTTTACGACCCCCTTCCTTTTCGGGGGTATCGGTACGACCCCCCATATTAACTATCATGTCTTTCACATAATTTAATGCTCATCAATGCTCATCAATGATGGCAGTCACCAACATGGAGAAGTGGTGGACCGTGGTCAATCCGCGCGCTTTGTCTCGCTCAGAGGAGGAAATCGAGGCAAATGAAGTTTTATTCATTAAATAGAAGGAATTTCCAAATTTTTGCGTAAACCAATACATCATTTTAATCGTAAAGATTTCTACTTTCAGAAACCCACCAGGATTTTTTCGATCTCTCAACTTTCCTTACCTTATAATCTGAAAACTAAACCTTGTAGCAATTACATTGCAATCCAAACCCCTCCATTCAGAAGGTTATATTTTCTTTCAGAAGCTGTTTCATGAAATCGGACACCAAAATTTTAAAAATATAAATAGTTTTCTTCCTGAGGAGTATTTGAAATGTTGTGGATGTTCAGTATTTCAAAAATCGTCCCGTTGTTCCGTTTTCTGTGCACACGCGAGTTTTTGACATTCAAACATTCATAACTTTCTTCATAATCAACTTTTTGCAAATGTCTAAGGCTAGTTAGAAAGAAACTAGAAGATTAGAGCTTTCGAACAAGCACCTGAAGTTCCAGCGATCATTTTTTCAAAAAATAGTCCGTTGTTCCGTTCTTGGGTGGTTTGGGGTCCGATTTTTGAGAAGGCGCGAGTTTTCGACATTCAAACGTTAATAACTTTCTTCATACTCAACATTTTGCAGATGTCTAAGGCTAATTAGAAACTAGAGGATTAGAGCTTTCGAATAAGTGCTAAAACTTTGAAATAATCACTCGCTCAAAAAATAGTCCCGTTGTTCCGTTTATTCCACCTTGATTTTTTTCAAGCCATTTTCCTGGACCGCGACTATGCAGTCTTCAAAGGCCCATAACTTCCTTTAAAATTTAATGTGATGAGAAGCGGTAAAGATTGTTGGAATCCACTCGAAGAGTACTTCATAACAACTGTGAAATTTTCCTGAAATTCCTTCTTCTGCCTCAATTTTCCTACGGCGTCTCTAGAACTCAATTCAGCAAATTCGCTACACTTTGTTTCGCTTAGATTTTATTTGAAAGCATCAAAACTCTCTTCAGAAAGTTTGTCTGCTTACGGCCGCTGACAGAGGAGGCGTTTTTATGGGAAAACGCCTCGGGTATACGCCGTGCACCTATCTGTGGGCAGAGTTCGCACTCGCATTTTGAAGTCTTCTGTTTTCCTGAAGAAGGTGTTAGTATCCTGATTGAGTTGTATTGTGCTGTTATATGGCACTCTTGTTTCACTTTCCCATGAACTGCTCTACACTTTGTTCTCCTCGGGATTTCAGGAATGTTTCATCATCGAAGACAGACCATGTTTTTGCACTACACTGTAACAAAGTTTTTGGCTATTGTCTATTGTACTCTTGATCTATGCCGCGGAGCAAAAGCGCCGTCGATTAAGGATAATAAGCTGATGGTGAGACTTATAGTGCTCTGCATGCTTTAATGCTCCCATGGAGCTCATGTCTGTGTGACTCTCCGACAGCGTGCAGAGCTCCTGGAGAACATTAGAGGCTGAAAGTGCACTCCCGGACACTGCACTTTTCAAGCCGTCTTGCAGCCCGTCTGTGGATACGACCCCCTCGTTGTTCTTTGCGCAACGCAGGGTTGACCCTGGTTCAGCAGCGTAGCTGCACACCGCTGAAGGCGGTTGGAGTGTAGATTGGAACTCCTTTTCGACTCCCGAAGATAGAAATGAGCGGTTTGTGGTCCGTCCTCAGCGTAAAGTGACGACCATGTATGAACCGATGGAATTTTTGAACAGCAAAAACGATGGGCGGGCACAGCACAAAAGAAGCACTGCCAGATTGAGAAGGCGAGGGCCTCCTTTTCGATCTGGCTGTACTTCTTCTGTGCTGGTGTCAAGGCGCGACTAGCATGATATACAGCCTTTTCGGATCCGTCGGGAAATCTCTGCGAGAGTACAGCTCCAACTCCGTAGTTGGAAGCATCTGCAGCGACGATAAGCGGCAGAGTAGGATCGTAGTGCGCGAGAAGGAGGTCCGATTTGAGAGTCTTCTTGATCCGATCGAAGCAAGACTGACATTCTGATGACCAGGTGTAGGCGGAATCCTTTTTGGTGAGCGCATCCAGTGGGGCGCGTAGATTGTGCAGCTCACGAACAAAGGTTCCGTAGAAGTTGACCAGCCGAGAAAGGCCCTGAGTTGGCTGACGTCCTTGGGGACTGGCATCCTATGGATTGCTTCGATTCTTGGCCGGGTCTGGACGTCGTCCATCGGCATCGATTATGAAGCCAAGGTAGCGAATTTCCGTGCGCAAGTAGCGAGCACTTTTCCAAGCGGAGGCGGAATCCAAAGTCTTGAATTCTTCTGAAAACTGCTTCCAGGACGGGCGTTGTGCTCATCGATAGTCCTCCCAGTGACGATGATGTCGTCGAGGTACGCGGCAGTACCATCCAATCCAGCAGTCAAGGTGTCCATTTGCTGCTGGAAGATTGCCGGGGCGGCCTTCACTCCAAGGTAACCGGTTGAGGCGATAGAGACCGCGATGTGTGTTGATTGTTAGCAGCGGTCGAGATTCTTCATCCACTTCCATCTGAAGGTATCGGCCAAGGTCCAGTTGAGAGAAGTACTTCCCTCCGTTGAGCTTGGCAAAGATATCGTCTGGAGTCGGAAGTGGGTGCTGGTGCTGCTCGAGGGCGTCGTTCAGGCCTGTAGAGAAGTCTGCGCAAAGACGGATTGTTCCATTCTTCTTCTGAACGACGACGACGGGAGCGGCCCACTCGGAGTGTTCGACCGGTGTCAAAACGTTTGCAGCTACCAGGCGACCGATTTCTTGGGTGATTCGTGGTTGAACAGCGTATAGCACTGGGGGAGCTTTCCGGAAGACAGGGTCACGATTCGGCCTTGAGTTTTGAGGTAGGCTGTTTTGTACAGCATTCGAAGTCCTGGTGCGGGAAACGCAACTGTTTCTGAAAGCGGCGGTAAGCGATCGCATTCGCACAGTAGCCATGTCGACGTTGGATAAATATTGGCGTTGCTCGTACTTTCAATGAGGCGAGGGGAGAGCGGCAGCTTGCGAAGAGCCTGAGTACATATATCGGCGTATTCAGGTGCAGCTAAACCACAGATCCAGACGAGACATTTCATCTGTTCAGCCGTGATTGCGTTGAATTCGGCCATCTCATGACGTCGATTCACGAGTCCTGTGTAGTCGCGGAGCAGAACTTCGCCGTCGCACTGGAGTCTTTGGGGTAGGGCGTATGACAGTGCGATGACTGGCGTTTTGTTGATCCAGAACGTTTCTTTGCAGTGTCTAAGTGTTCGTGAGAGGAATTTCAGCAGCTCTCTCCGGCAGGATATAGTTTGTGAAGCGTGCGTAGGCGGCTGCATCAAGCTTCGATACAATGAGACGTGTACTTGTCGCGTCGTCGAGAGTGGCACCATCCTGGTCGTGAATGATATCTTCGTAAATTGGCTGAACCGACGGTATTTAAGCCAGAGTTTCAACCTGCGGTTGCGCACTTCGAACGGCGTTAGTGAGATCCTCAAGCCACGCGGTCATTGGGGCGGAGGACGCGACCGGCTCGAGCGATCGCGAGTTGTGAGATATTATGCTGCGAAGAACGTGTCTATCGGTGGCGAAACTGGCGCCAACATTTTGCCGTTTGAGAAACTGGCGCAAGCGGCAGGGTTTGATCTGCGTTGAGTTGCAGCAGTTCTCGGGTTGTGCGTGCATTCGGGTAGCCGTGCGGATAGTAGCGAGTAGACTGAACTAACTCGGCTGATGGTGCGAGCTGTCATTAGACTGGATGAAAGCGTAGATAATAGTCCTTCGCATCTCCTTCATTACGGCTTGCAGCATCTTCTCCTGCACGTAGAGTGTCAGCATCCATCGTTGGAGCAGCGTTTGGTGGTGATGTCGCTGCACGGCGTAGTCGATCCTGATCGCCAGTTGAAGTGGAGTCGAACAGAGAAGATTTATTAGTCTGACGAACCAAATACAATGAAATCTCAGGAAACTGCTGGGTTCTACGTGTTTTATCTGAAGTCAAATATCCCTTTGGTAACCGCAACACATCGCTGGCTAGGAATGTTGCGCCTAAAAGGTGAGGTCTTTGTAATTGAACGGGGATTACCACACATGAGAATATGTACCTACAAACATCGCGAATGGACATCATCAGAAAGCGCCGTCAATATGTTACTTGGAAAAGCCGCCCCCGAACCGAGGGGCGCCACGGGCCCCCTGAGCTCACCCCGCCAGCGAAAAATTGGCGGATACAGCAAGATAACCAGGACTTCGCATAGGTAGATAAACGCCAAAGAAGGATGAAGAAAGAGTGTCCGGTAGATGTGAACGGCCCCGCCGGCGCTCATTCGTGCATTTGAATTTTCAATACCCTTTTATCGGTATTTCAAGCGCTCGCTCGTACGAGTCCACCATTACAGCACATTCACTCTATTCACTAAGATACTGTAAGATATCGTGATTTTGGGCATCTACCAGACTTTTGTGAGCGCGGCCGCGTCTCTCGGTTTCATGCCTGAATTTTGAGTTACTATGGCAACACCGAATGTTTAAAAACTTTTTTACAGCGGATTGGATGGCAATGCATAGAATGACAGGGGATTATAGTGGTCTCAATTGCCGATTCAAAACAAACGCGTAATGCGTTCATGAATGAAGCAATTCCACGTGCTTCCTCTTTGAGGCTGGACATTGAAAGTACTTCCGGAGGATGGTTTACCAGGGAAAGAACATCTAGTATTTTCTGTTAAGTGTAAGTTATTACGTAAACTCTACTAGTCTTCTTCGAAGTCATGGCTATGAAAATAGGAGGCAAACGCAGAGGTCTTTCTCATTCCAGTTGACGCATGACGTTCTCGAGAGCGGCGCTGAAGAGTTTGGGCGAGATGGTGTCGCCCTGTCGAACCCCTCTCTTGACGTCGATGATGACCTCCTTGTAGAATGGTGAGATTCTGGTCGTAAAGTTGCTGTAGAGCTCACGAGAATCCTGATGTACTGAGTAGGAACGCCCTGGTTGCCCAAGGCTTCGATGACCGCTTCTGTCTCCACAGAGTCGAAGGCCTTCCTTCAAAAGTCGGTGGACGTGAGACGAAGCGGCATCTTGTATGCTAATGAAACTTCAATGAGTCTTGTAACCGTACGGATAAGGTCGATCGTATTGAACCCTCTGCAAAACCCTGCATGCTCGCATGGCTGTCCTTCAGTACTCTGCCGACCCTGTTTACGGATGACTCGAGTGAATAGCTTGTAGATTACAGACAGCAGGCAGATTGGGCGATAGTTGCCAATGTCGTCCAAGTCTCCTTTCTTGTACAACAGCACAGTTCTGCTTATTTCCCATGGAGTGAGTACCTTGTGTTCCAACGGGGAGCGTGCAACAGAATCGTCCGGGAGTGGCGCCGTCGCGCGCGGTTACTTGCGCGGCGCCGTAATGCGGCACTTTTTGGATGGGCGCGGCAACAACAGACTTGTCGATTGGAGCGACAGATTTGCTGCGGTCCACATTAACCCTTTTGGCCGTGGCCCATGGGACGATTCTGTCGCTACACAGGGTCATCCAGAAGTTGTTGAAAGGCAAGTTCATACGGTCAACTCATACAGTTATATTGGAAGACGAGGAACCGGTTGGGAAAACTAAGGTTCGTTCTAACTGCTAAGTTCCTTTGCGCACGGTGCGTGGTAGGAACAACAGACACTACAGCACTAACTAGTATATAAGTTTTATGGTTCGGCGTATGCAAGCGTTGAATTGCAACCTTATAACTTGACATTTGATTCAGTCGTCAGCGTAGAATTAGAATTGCTGATGTTGTTTTTTCCAGTTCCTTTCATGATCTGTGACTATGATCCTTATGATTCGCTTTAGACTCGAATAGAGAAGATCAATTTTCCTCAAGAACAGAAGGAAGAAGAAGAGAAAAAGCCTGAAGGTGGAGATGATGTGAGTGCTAGCTGGATGGTTTTCGTCTCTTTGATAATTTTTGCCTACTTTTGGCCTGCCTATTTAGATATCTGATAACATTTTGTCCTTTTCTCTATACGAGCCGCTTCTGCTTTAGGTTCCAGAGGATATTGGAGAGCTCTATGGTAAAATGGATGGAGATGATGAACAAGATGCAGAGATTCGTAGCCTGCAGTTGCTCACGTTTGAAATCAAACAGGTGATAATCATAAGATAAAGTTGCATTGTCGTCCACACATATTGGGGTCCCAAAAACTTCTGGCGTGTGGTAGGTGTGATATCCATAATTAGTCTATGCACTCTTGTCTTGCCTACCCATTCAGATTTTCTTTGCCATCCCACGTAAAACTTGTTATTTCCCCAAAACAATATTGAACCTGCAACCGTTACCTACTTCAAAATGCACGTCTTTCTGTTCCTGGTCCTGGTGCGATTCATTTCCTATGAATTCCTTTCCAAATTATTTGTGTTGTTTTCTAACTGCTAACTTTCTAACTGTTTCTGCAGTCATGTTAATGGGAGCCTTGCCCATCCATGCGTTGCTCTTATAGGAAAGTATTGAGACTGCACAAAAGCGTTGCATTGAGCGGGAGTATTCACTTCTTGCGGAATACGATTTACGAAATGACACTATGAACCCCTATCTTGGAATTGATCTGAAGGCATCGACTACTTTCCGTCCTATCAGGAGAAGAGCAGGAGAAGAGCGAGTAAAATGTTCGGAAATAGGTGAGGTGAGTTTTCTCTAGTTTTCTGCCTTTCTCCGTTTCCTAATCGTATATCTCAGTGCTTATCGTCCGTTATATGAAATACTCAGCTATGAAAGTCTTTAAATCCGCAGTAATTGTACTTTCTTGTGGAGCTGGCAAAACTCTTGTTGGTATCATTGCGGTTGTCAACTGACACTCACAAGTGTTGTTCAGTTGAAGTGTCAACAAATGCGCCTGACGCTTGCCCCTGCATCTTGTTCATCATGCCTGCTTCTCGCAAATTCTAATGTGTCTGTGGAGCAGTGGCGAGCTCATTTAAGTTGAGACTGAAATTGTTTCTTCCGTAGAGGTGAAGAGCTTATAGTAGCGTTCAGCAATTTAATGACAAGCAAATACTAAGATTCACTAGTGATGTGATTGGGTCGATATTTACATACTTTGTTGATATTCGTCGGGTATTTTTAGTTGTGGTCCACAATTAGCGACAAGCAAATTGTGCGATTAATTCGTGAAGCAAAGGATTCCGTTCCACATGCGCGATGCCGGCTGTGAGGGACTATAGCGTTTTTTGACTTTGCTGAAGCTTTTGCTGCTTTCAGTGTTCAACTTCAGCCCACCGTTTGTATAGGTACTCATTCTATTGTGGCTTATGCAGGTAAGCGTAGCTATGCTGCTGAAGAGGCGATGAAGTTCATTGAGAGCCAGGAGTGGGGACTGCTACTGTTGGATGGTCAGTATTAAATCTTTCTAGACCTGCTTTTGCTTTTTTGCCTTCACTGAATTATATGCGCAGGCAAATTCCATGTTATTGTTTGTTGATGTTCACTTGGGTTTAGAAGGGCACAAAATTCACCCTTCAACTAACTATATTATATAATAATATATTAGTTATTATTATTTATTAGTTATATTATAGTTATATTATTAGTTAATAATATATTATATATTATAATATATCCTGAAAATATACAGTGCTTACTCACGATAGTAACGATTTTATGTCTTACTATATGTTAGTTGATTCTCACTTCTAACTTCTTACAAATTAGAACTAAAACTCCCAATAGAATTAGCTGCCAGATTCCATAAGCCTTTGCAAAACACATCCTAATAAACAGCAGTTATTATTACGCCTTTTTTTTAAAATGTTTTCTGCAAATGTAGAAATTGGATACGTAATTCAAATATCACTCACGACAGTTAGACAGATTATCTGCAACTGCACACAATAGTGAAATAATGTCACGACAAAACGACTGTTAGTCCGTAAATGCACCAAATATGTGGAACTATTCGGACATTGGTAGTTTATTAATGTATTTCAACTGTATCACTATTTCTACATTCTAATTCGTTGTTTTTCCAATCGTAGTTAGTACCATTTACTCGAGCTAATTCGTATACAAGCATCAGTTGTTATTCTGCTTACATGAGATTCCTTGATAACTTTTTATCTTGCTTCCATTTATACAGTCGATATCCGAAAGTTGGGGTAGGTGTGTCACCGGAAGTGACGTGCACTTGATAGAAGTTGCGTGGATAAGCTGTTGCCAGCATGCTTTGCTGATATCCAGCGATGTATGCTGGCAACAGCTTATCCACGCAACTTCTATCAAGTGCACGTCACTTCCGGTGACACACCTACCCCAACTTCGGATATCGAGTATACCTTGGGATTTCCACCGTCTTCCACTTATTCAAGACTATTATTTGTAACAATATGGCGACTCTTGAGTTTTAAACGACGTAATACAATTATGCTGAGTTAGCCGATGTGAAGTACCACCTACTTGTTCTGTTTTGCAGTGTGTGTTTAAGTACAAGGTATACTGGCTACTGTTGGACGTTATATTAAAGAACACCAAGAAGCTGCAACTTGGCAAATGGGGACAAAATTATAAGATATCAACTCCACTAACAGGTAACATACCTATTCAATTTACTTGTTAAGTATGTATCAATCAATTTCATAACTTATTCGTTAGTGAACACATTTCTTACCTCGCATCACATACAACCTTCTTTGTTTGAATTTCGTTGATGGGACCCGCGCGTTTTTCCTTCTTTTTCCTTTTTTTTCTCTCTTTTTTGCAGGGGTTAAGATAATCCCATAACAATTCAATAGCCATTCAAGAGGGCCATACCTCTTACTAAAAATAGGGATTAGCGCTGATGGGGTTATACAAGTCAAAAATGGCAGGAGGGGTCAATTTTTGGCGCCTCCAGCGCTAGTTGTTCCGCAAGGAACATGCAGGGAGAGCCATCCCCTGGGCAGCAGCCCTGCCAAACCTTCGGGAAGACACCCTCTCTGTGCACGTGTTTGACCGCTCGTGCGCTTAGATCCTAGGTCAAAAAACAATGCAAAAATTAGCGCTTCAAATTATTACAATTTTACACAATTTACCAAGGTAAGGGGTGGGACCAATCATTACCATATTAAAGACTTCGGTAATAACAATGAAGGTAGTGTTTGTAACAAGGAATGCAGAGTATGTAATATCACCAATAAAAGCAATATCCAATGTTACCGGTTTACATGTTAATACATATAAAGAGGTCAACACACATTGTAATACGAAAAATGTCATATATTGTCTAACATGCAATGAATGTGGTATACAATACGTAGGTATGACAACACGGAAAAATAAAAGAAAGAGTTGGAGAACATCTTACTAATATAAAAACTCACAAAATCAAGTCGCCTTTGTATAATCATTTTTACAACTGTAACAAAGGAATTACTCTTACTATATTAGACTCAATAAGTAATAACAATAAAGAGATATACTGACTTTCCAAAGAATTATTTTGGATCAAACTTCTGTGTGTATGCACCCTACATTGAGTACATGCTATGCCATACTGCTACCCACGGACGCGGTATGAGACGAAACATCAGCGCACGCACAGGTGGCATATGGTAATAATTACCACCATGTTTAGCAACCCTATCTACACTTCAAGAAAACCACCCACTTTTTCATCTTGTAGCAATTATCCCAAACACAACAAGACATGCGGCCTCGAGGGAGAAACAGAGGAACTAATAGAGGATCCAAAACAAATAAAACTAAACGATTGCATAACTTTGATAAGATATTAGAACAAATAATCAATAGCAATGGATCACTTAAACCAATCGAATATTATAGACTTATTAAGACCCTCAAAAAAGAACAAATTAGTAAATTAATCAAATACTCCCTTAATGACAGTTTCCTTGCAGATGTTAATAGTAAAACTAAACTAATAGTTTTCTGCATATTAGCACACCTACATTTCAATAACGTTAAAGACAAGGATAACAATAAGAGAACATTCCATAACATTACAATGAATTTTACTAGCAGGATATTCAATGAAATACAGTTCAATAAAATATTCAACTCCGACTACATTAAAAAGGTAGTGTTAGCGAATAATAAGCAAAAGGAATACATACCTATCAGAATGATTTATAAATACAATAATCCGTTATCTAGTATAATATTCAATTATAACAAGATACTAAAAGCCTAGACAACAATAAAATAGAAGAAGTAATTAACAACAGTTGTATTTGCCAATACAACAAAGTTAAAAATTTCATCTCTAAAGAACATGGCCACGTTATTACGGGTGATTTGGATATAATTGAGGAAGATAACTTCAGGAACATTCTCAGGAAAGGCACTAAATTTAGGAATGATAGAGGCATAACTAGAGTTGAAGTCCATAATATATATAGTAAAGCAGTACAAGATGTTATAACGTTTTTCAAAAACAAGTACCATATTAATAAACAAAAGCAAAACTTAATTAAAAAATTCTTATGTGAACAGTACTATAGAAAAATAAAACCTTTGCTCACATACGATAAAATTAGTAAAGACATCGATGATATTCCCAATAGAACTCTCATGGACTATCAAAATAAATTTGTTTTCTGTCCTTTGGACAAAGCTAGTAACAATTATGGTATTATTTGTAAAAAGTTCTATTTGATAATTTATTTATTTATTTATTTATTTGTGCTTGAACACGCCATGAAATCAAAGTATGTGAAATTAAAGTAAAGCATGTTAAGTTAAAAATTTCAACGATGCTATAAAAATGTCAGTAACAAAACCAGTAAGTAAGCCAACAACCTGAGTTGAGTCCACTAGCCTATCTGCGAGCCACAAGAAGAGACGCATGAGCTTGTCAGCCAAGCGGTTCGCAGTGTTTTAGTGTAAAGGAGGAGCGTAAAGGGGCATAGGCACTTGAGTTTGAAAACGGTCTAGGCTTTAACAAGGGCAAATTTCGAGGTAGGACGATCAAACCTTCCCACCGCACGAGATGAGGATTATGTAGACACTGGCCACGCCATACTCAAGCCTGGACATCAACACAGACCTGCATCAGTCGGCTATGATGCCCACTCGCCACTAGGGGTCATAGGAGCTTACCGAAACTTCGAAACACGGGTATACCGACCACCCTCGTGGAAACGGCAAGCTAGGTAAGTGTAATGCA